ATACACTTAATTATTTTAAAATATATCTTTATTAGTCATTTAATTTTAAATAATAATTGTTGATTATTGTTTAACAAAATAATTATATTAATTAAATTTACTATTTACTATTTACTACTCATTTTCGTTATCTGTCACCTACTATCTAATAACCATCACCTACTATACACTACCTATTATCTATTATCCTTTAAATTTTAACTATTATACCAAACAAATTCTAAAATTAAAAGCTGCTAATTATTTATCAAACAATAAACAAACACCTCCTGATAGCTGAAGCCACTTGCTAAAAAGGGTGTCCACTTCTCAAAAACTAATCTTTACTCGGATTATGTTAACGAATGTCTAATTTTCGAAAAAGAAATTATAAATGAAATTACATCCAAATCCGGCAGTTTTTTATATTTGGGTTGTAAAATGAGAAACATATAATAAAATCCTTATGTTACTAGCTATTTTTTTAAAATTTTTCTTGAAATTAAAGATTTAGTGATAATTTATGTATTTATTTATATTATTTTTGATAAAAAATAAAAAATAAAAAATATTTTTGAGAAGATAATAATTAAAATAAATAATAATGATATGATTAAAGTAAAAAATATATTTTTTATTTTAAAAAACGAAAAAATTATACTTAATTTTTTTTGAACAAATTGTAATTATTTACATGTATTAATTGAGGGATGAGGAAAGGGATTCCGTGAGACTCAAATACGTCTAAGAGGTGAACAGCCCTAACCAAAGATCCATGCTACTGTGTTGGAACGGGCCGTTCAAAAAAATTATATTTAATTTAAAACAACTTTGAAGTAAAAAAGTATTTTCTTTGATTTGATTTAGTTATCCCGATATAATTTTATATGTTCCATTCATCCCAAAATAATAGATATTTTTTTGTTTAGAATTTGTCTCAGAATAATAATAATCTTTTTTTTTTTTAATTTTGACAGAGACAAATATTTTTTTGTATTAAACCCTATAATTATCTTTTAGTTTTAATTATTCATTCTATCATAAAAACAAAGTCTCATTATTTTTATTTCTTTTTTTAAGGATAAATAAGCAAAAATAGAAATTATTCTCAAATCATTAATCCCAAGATAAAAACAAAAAAATGTCTATTATTTTGGTACAAAATAAGAAGTAAATGGATGACAATTCAAATTTTTTTTCTATATATAATTTTGTAAAGTATTTTTATTTTAATGAAAAATTATTAATCATCATTCATTTACTATATAAAGTTATCAAATAAAGTTATTAATCATCAAATATTTACTAAAAAAACAAGAGAGTCACAATTATTTTGAAAGGCAGTGAGTGTAAAATCTTAGTAATTAATATTAGAGCCATCCATAAATATATATTATCTACTCATAAATTTTTTTTATTATTGAGTTATATAATAAGAGATAATCCTCTCCAAATACTTAACACATCCCATTTGTATGTTATAAAATTTAAATTTAAAACCTTTTATTTTTATTAAAATAAAATTATTACTAAATTATTTATATCGTTAGCTATCTTTTCACACAATTAAAAGTATAAGTTAATAAATATGGCATGGGACTCGCCGACTCGGACCCTAGTCTTCCACAAAGTCTTTGTTTCACTGTAGCACTCTATTGAATGGGTTCGCAGATTCATTTCAGTGGCATTTGCCAAGCATATTCCAGGAAATTTGCGTTTAGAGTTGTAAAATGAGAAGTAAACTTTAATTCCCAACACATGCAGCGTCCCAAGCAATAGAACTTGTGTCTTTAATCTATCCCTAGACAAGTTTTTCTTCAGTTCACATTTCACTGTCATGGAAAAGTTCAATGCAAATAGCTTTTCAGTTTGAAAAACGTCAAATAATACATCAGCATATACGCATTAAAAGAATTCTCCTCTACATGATATTGTGGTTTAAAATTATTGATTATTGGTTTCATTTAATCTAATATATAAAAATATTTAAATTAATAATAATAATTATTGACTGTACTAATGATTTATTAGTTTAAGTAAAAAGAGTTCAATTCTTTTTAAATAAGGTTCCAAGTTCAAGCCTTGTACCTCTTATGGGGTCTGTAGAATTGGTCTTCTGTAAGTGCAAAAACTGCTATGCCAATTAAATAGCCTTTAAGTCTGTTTTATATGTTATAATATAAAGCAGTTGCACAATTATTGATTCCTTTTTTATATTAGTGGTCAAGGTATTTTTGTATCAGTTTTTTGTATCTTAAGACTAATTTCTACCTGACCAATTTTAAAAGCACCTTACCACATTGTCCTAACACATTTAAATGAATTAGTTTCCTTGCAAGCTGATCCCAAAACTTAAACTCTAAACATAACTGATAAAACAACATTGCTTCCCATTGCATCCAACCTTTGGGATTATTATTGATCACTTTATAATAGAGTAACTTAGCAACTTTCTTATTATCTTTGCAGATTCATTCACTAGCATTTGCCAAGCATCTTCCAGGAAATTTCTAGCTGTAATTGGTACAAGGTCTCTCCTCTTCTCCTTAGCCAGCTCACTTTGTATCATCTCACACAATTAACCTTGCAGTTGAACTGATTCGTTGCTACTTCTAATCTTTTTGGCTTGGCCAATCCAATTAATTTGGTTATCAGTCAGGCTCCATTTTCTGCAATTTCTTTGGTGAAACCTGCAGGTATACCAACTAGATCTTCAATCATGAATCAGTTACGTTTTCTTTGAGATATAAAATGAAAATATCTACATTTTTATACAGACATATGTTCTTATAACAAAGAATCTTCATTCTAGTTAAAATATTCATCAGTTTTAAATTATTTTAGAGCAAATTGTTAGATTCTTCATTTTCAAATTGCCTGCTTTGATAAATTATTTTTCCAATTGTTTGCTTTTATCGAATTAATTAGTAGCTACTTAATTAAGAATGTGAGTTCTCTTTTTCTTTTGAGTACTTCTAGTAAATTAGACATGTGTCTCCAAGTGATCTTTCCAAATCATGTTCGTCTTCTAGGAAATATCCATCACATCCTTCTGGTTAGAGAACTAATTAGGCGTGAAATTTTTAAGCTGATCAGCTGCTACTTTTAATTCGGTTATAGACATCCATTTCTTCAATTTCATCTACTAAACTTGTACGTACACTATTTATCTTTATCTTCAATGTTGATTATCTTACTTTCTTGCTGATATATATTATGGTAGACTCCCCAAATTTACCTCTTAACTATTTATTTTAGGGATAAATCTTGATTATCCATTTCCATGATATTTCCTTTTGTTGTTGGAATTTCTTGGCAAGAGATATTTCTTGAAATAAATCTTGATTATCCATTTCCATGATATTTCCTTTGGTTGTTGGAATTTCTTGGCAAGAGATATTTCCTTGTAGTATTTTTTTTAGGGATAAATATATTTAAAATATCAGTTTGATCATTTAAATTTCATCTTTTATCATCACAATATAATAATAATAAGAACATCAGCTTTTTAGAATTTTCTAATTAGTACTATAACAATTTTTTATTAATTAAGATTACCATATTTTAAAGTTTTTAAAAGGTGATAACTTTAATAAGTAAAATCATAAATTATATTTCTAATTAAAATTTTTTTTAGTATTAATCTTTCGGTATCCGATAACTATTTTGGATTTCAACTAATTCGAAATCGAGTCGCATTAAATTTCATTAGAAAAAAGTTCTTTCAACGCCTGTTTTTCCGTTCATAATACCCAAACTTGAAACTTTACTTAAAAGAAATCGAGTTCTTTCTACTCGAATCAACAAATCGTCGGTTATAATTAAAAATTTTTGAAATGATAGTTTTGATTAATAAAAAAAAAAGTTATGTAGTTAATTAAAAAATCTTTAAAAAGTTATGTTTTTCTTTGTACTTAATCTCTTTTATCATATAAATACTTTTTTAAGTTTAAATTTTAGTAGGTGTAATTTTTAATAAAATAATAATATAATAATTAATTAATTAATTGCATATATTTTTTTGGTACATAATTAATTTCATATTTACTTTTAATTAATCATTACTTAAATAAACTTTCTTAATATATGTTGTAATTATTTTTTTTAAATAAGGATAAAATATAAATAATCATATTAAACAATATCTTAAAAATAAAAATAAATAATTAAAAATATATTTAATTTGATGAGAGGGGTGAATATTCCTCTATTGGGTTACCCAAAAATTAAAGAGGAAAAAAAGAGAAGGAAATGAAAAGTAAGCCCCAAAATTTATATAACATATTATCGTAATTCCTATATATACTTGGTATTCTTCATTTTCTCTCCATTTCCCTCTCTCTCTCTGTATTTCACAAACACCATACATACCCTAAATTATTCCTCACTCTCAGCGACCATAATTGAAGTGGGACAGTCTGCATTCAGACAATTATTCATACTAGAGGAAGCACCACTAGATGGTCCAAATGAGAAAATAAAAAAGTGATAAAGCACAAAGTTATACACAATTGCACAAAGTTCTATCATGATAGAGATATTATAAGATGTAAGTCATATTTTTAAGAGATGTAAGTCATATTATTAAGAGATATAATTAATATAATTATGAGATAAATTTTAAATTTTAAATTATATGTCTTTTTATTTTCCGTGCTTTAATTTCTTTAATGTGGTATCAAAACAGTTGAAAGCTTGAGATGCTGATTTCTTTATTGTTTCTGCAATCCATTTTTTTTTTCTCTTTCCGTTAGTCAATATGATGTATAAAAATATATACTCCATGTTATTCTGTTGCTTCAAAGTACAACATTAAGTCGATATTTATTAATCAAAAACATTTATGCTCTGTTTGGCAACTTGAATTTAATAGTGTGTATTTGAATTTGAAGTACTTAAATTTAATTTTACTGTTTATTTTTATTTAAATAAAATATAATTAAATTTGAATGAAATACATGTATTTTAAAAAAGTATTTCTCAAGAGAAATACCGTGCATTTCAATTTCACCCTATAACCCTCGTATTCAATTTTGAATTGAATTTGGTCTGCACTCTCTTCTCACCGACGGCGATGAGCCTTCACCGTCCGCCCTAACTCTGCCGCTGCTCTCGCTGCTCTCTCACCTTCGCGTCGTCGGCCACTCAACCTCTCTTTGATAGTAGGTTCTCGATCGCGCGCTGACTTTTCATCATCTCTCTCGATAGATCAACGCCTCAGGTAATTCCTCTTCCTTCCTCAAATTTTTATTGATTTGCATATGACTACCTCCTAGATCAGCTCTATTTAATTCTGTATTTGGGTCAGAATCCCTTGATTTCGTTTCTTACCAAAGAATCTCGTCCGCCTTGACTACTTCCTGCCGCGATTTTTTTTTTTTTTGTTCTGCTTCCGCCTTTCCGTATTCCCCTTGAAAGAAAACCAATTTGGGAAGGAAAATATGGGTGAGAGGTTCATTTCTTCACTTCCTTTCCTCATTTTTGCTTAGTTCTCTATCTGGGTATTTTTACACTTTTTTGTTTTTCAATTTTACATTGTTGAGTTCAGAGTTCTTGCATAGGAGAATTATGAGAAGTAATAAAGGTTATTTCTAAAGATTTTATTTGGGTTTTGTTTTTTTGGTTTCAGTTTTAAGGTTTGCTAGTTTGTTTGAGCTGATTCTGAGAATGCATATGATACTGATTCATTTGTTTACGATGCCCTTTTGGATTAACACTGAGGTTGACTAGAGCTTTAGTTGCTTGCTTTTGATTTCATTTACCCAACCCATTCCGATTTCCTACATTTTTCACATTAAAGGATTATTTATGGTGGCAAGAACACACACTTGTTTCAGGATATCAAACTCTGAAAATGTTTCAGTGAGCTCTGAGCTGACCGCTGAGAGAAGAGACGCTCAGAATCAGAACAACTCTCTCGTTTTCTCCGACTCCAAAGTTAGCTGTGAGTTTCTCTCTTCTTCAATCAATCCGATCTTCTTCTCTGTTTGATGAATTATTATTCACGCATTTCCTTGATTTTACTTGGAATGTTTTGTCCATCGCGTTTGGTTTTAGAGAATGTGTTTGTTTCTGTAAAAATGTAGTCAAACTCTGATGCCTGTAATGGGTATATGAAATGACAGTTGTTTCTATTTAATTAGTATCAGACATGCTTGTATTGGTGGAATGTTAGACTGATGAAGAATCAGAACTGTGGGGTAACTGAGTTAGAAGATTGCATGAAACTGGACTAAAGTTATTTTGGAGGTGAGGGTAACTGGGTTGCAAATGGGTTTTTGCCAAATGGAAAAGTTTCTTGTGCTGGATGTTGTGTGGATAGTGGAGATATTTGGAAATATTGGTTTTTGTTTCTAGTATCTTTGCTGTAGGCTAGAGGCTACTGATTCTGCTTTAATTTTAAATCCAATTTTGTTGGATGGTAGTGTGGAGAGGCGGTAGTAGTATACGGTTCCAGTTATATACATAAAAAGTATGTACCTATACCCATACTTCAAGCACATGGCTGTTATATGCAGTCTCTGTACAGTATGTTCTTGTTTTTTCTACTTCTGAATGTAAGTAATGCATTATGATCTAATATCCCTTTTGAGTAAGAACTGGTTTTTGAGTAAGAAAATATGTTAGAGTAAAGTGGGTTTGACAAACAGATTTTTGTGCCAGGGAAAATATGTTCTAATATCCCATAATATTATAAATTGCAAAAAAGGTGGGTTTGGTATTTGCTTGTGCGTGTCAGCTTTCTAGTTGAGAACATGTGGAGTGGGTTGTACATGTTTTTCTTCATGAATGCATGATAAATTTCTTATTGGTTGCTTTTACAAGTGAACTATTGGAATTATTAACTCAAGCTCTTTCCTTTCTCTAAAGTATTAAC